ATATATAAGATAACTTAAGCGACTAGTGCAATTTTCAAGCCGATTTTGAATTAAAGATGGTTAAAGTTGGCAAAATGGGTACTAATTAGCATTAATTAAGTCATTTCTGCATTTTTTAACATTAAAAACTCGAAATAGGATTGGAAAAACGTAGAACTCACTTAATTGTCTAGCCTCCTCCGCAGGCCTCTCTATGGTGCGGAGGAGGCTATTAATTGTCTTATATACAGTTTTTTACGCTCTTTCTAGTGGTATAGTTTATTTTTCGTATAAGAGAACATGAAATTTTACATTTTTTCCGATCATAGTAATTTAATAGGCAAAATTTAAAAATTCTCAAATTTTTGGCTATAAAGCAAAAATCAGAAGTGGTAACACACACAGTCTTGTTCACCAAGGCTTAAACTATAAGAAAATGCCTGTTACCAGCTTCTAACATAAAGTTGCCATCCAGTTGTACAAATTGATGACTTGGCCGGCCGTCTATTATATCAATCGAGTTTCCAGGCTACAAAGTCTCTATCTATCGAGCTATCAAGCTAACAAGCAAGTTCTATTCAATTTAAATGCATTACATATTTTTGTGATGACTTGACACTTTTTAGAAGATGTTTGAGTTAATCATTTGAATTGTACTATAATCTCGAACAATTTGCGGCAGTGTCAAATTACCTCTAGATTGAAAACAGTTCAGATCACTGGCATCAGCTGAAGAGCTGTCAGGGACAGTATCCTGGCACCAAGCATGATATGCAAATGCAAACATATGCTCAGGACGATCTGGAGTTACACATTTCTTCTTTAATCTATCATACCATTTGATACACTTCTCAGCGCTATCAACTTTCAACCTGGAGGTAAAAAAATTTGGTAAATACAGAAGCATTGTTAATGGTATAGCCAGTGGTCAATGCATCAGTACAGCTTTCACCTCTATAACCAGAGTTCGATTCTTGCAAATGAATAATCAATATGCAATTGTCTGATTATAATTTCACTTTAGTAGTATGTGAGAAGATTTGACAGTACTGCAAGCTTGCTCTGGGTAGTCTGTCTCATTTCCTCAGGACTGGAGTTTAAAATCTCAACAAATTAGTGCTGTGTGCCGGAGCTCCGGTGGTTTTTCCGACGCCGGAGCAGAATTTTGTATGCCGGAGCCCGAGTTACGTTTTCCCAACTCCGGCAAAATGACAAGAAAACAATATGAAATGAGACAAATGTCAAACGATTGTTAGTTACTGCAAACTGCCAATTGCTGTTAATGAATTCATCATAGACTCAAACTGCCACAGCCCACAGGAACAGTGTCGAAAAGCTGTAATACGATCGCAACTTACAAACGTCATGCTTTTGTGAAGCCATCTGACTTAGCGCTACATAGTCTGTGTATTCATGCCTTGTAGATAACGAAAAAGTACGAAACAAATAAATATCAACCTTTTGAACATGACAGAGTACTTTGTTTGCATGCGAACAATCGCGCATTTGCGCTGTGGAGTCTGAAAGTGTTAGCGTCATGCCTCGCGTCATGCTATATAAAAATTGCAACACTGGCTGGTTTCCATATAGATATTTTCTGCGTGGTTAAGTGTTTTCACTGTTTTGTTTCCTGAGTTAAGTTATCTGATAATTAGGAAGCACGAAAAGGGTTATTCATAATAATATTAATAAATGTTCTCTGATCGTAAAATATTAAAATATTCATTTAATATTTTATGATGCGGCCGGAGCCGGAGCTCAGAGCTATAATTCGGCCGGAGCCGGAGCTGAAAAACTGGAGTTTGCACAGCACTACAACAAATGAAAGATGATTCAAACTGGACTTCTAGGGAAAAGAGTTCAAGACAGAATTGATAGAGTTATGAACATACTGGAGTGATTGTCCATTTTTACACGAAATAAATATCTCAGGAAAATCTTTTCCTTTCCACTCCAAACTTTCTATCAACATCAATGGAACCTAGGATTCACAAATTATAGGATCAACATTCAAATAATGACAGAATGGCAAATATTCAATCATCAGGGCACGAAATTTAAATTTTTTGGTAGTATCCAAGTGGGATACCAGGCTTTTGAATCTGGTATCCAATTTTGGAAGCTAATATCCCACCTTTTGGTCCAAAAATTTCAACTCTCAATGTCCACAATAACAGTTAATTAAAGTTGTTTTTTTACATTAACAGTTCTACTTCTAACTTCTAGTTAATTAATAATGAAACAAATTACACGTTTTACAAAACATTTTGCCATTTTCAAGCGTCACCCACGGAAATGACTTTGTCCAGCTTTGGCAAAAACTTTGTGATCGCTTTGACTGTTCATACTGTCGTTTCACTTCCGTGTTTCGTTTTTCACGTCTTTCTTGTTCTGCAGATTGTTTCTCTTGTGTTTCATGAGCCGAAACTGTTGTCACATATTTTAGCATATTATGATAGGAACACCCGAAATTTAGGATGTAAATACGCGAATCCTGGCAAATTTCCGAATTTGCGGGTTCAGCACACCCTGAAATTGGGTCGTTTCAAATAGCAAAATTATGCAATTATTTACAATAAAAATGTAATTCGTAAATAAGGGCCACTCAAAGAAGACAAATTTGTGAAATTTTGCTTCGCAAACACTAGCACTATATCTTGACATTTTCTTGGTATCCCTCTGGGATACTAATATCATGATATTTAGTATCCAAACATAAAATCTAGTATCCCGTGAATATCGGGATACCGCCAATTTCGTGCCCTGCAATCATTGATTAAAAGATAGTCAATAGGGGAGGGGCAAGTTCAGCCTAGCTTTGGTTAAAGCACCCCCAATTTCAAAAATACTTTTTACATTTTACTATATCAACAGGTAGGATACATCCTAATTAGATCAGGTTATTCATGCCATCTATACTGTAATTGTCTGTTTGTTTTATGTTTGTAAACTATACAGCCCCACCAGTAAGATGGCTGGTACAAACAAAAACAATATAGTAAACAAAAAAAAGATATAGTAAACAAAACATAATCTTGGGATGTTCAAATGAAGAAAAACAACTTCAATCCTACTTGGGGCAGTCAAGAAACAAAATTTCAGCTGATTGAACACCATTTAAGTTTTGGACACCCCATTAACTCTAATCCCTTACAGAACATTACTTAGAAATTTTCCCTGTTAACATCAGGAGCTGGTTGTTCAAAAGCCAGTGAAAGCCTGTAACTTAATCCTAGGTTAACAAAAATTTCAAAGCAATCTTTCCAAAATCCTCTTTAGAAACATGAAGATAGTTTTCCACAATTCATGTCTGGATAAATAGAAGTTTTATTTTCCAAATGTTTGAAATAAACAGAAGGGCAACAGCAGGTTAAAGGGTCGTTAAATTTTAACCCATGTTTAGTGCTAATCCTGAGCTTTGAACAACCAATGCCAGTTTGTTAGGGGTTTGACTATGTACACAGAATGGTATAAACCCAAACCTTCAACTTACATTGATAAATGAATGCTCAAAGGCAGCAAAAAATCTGAAATTTGAAATGGCAAAAATGGCGTCTGAACATTTTCCAAGGAATTCTACATTTTCACCACTCAGCTCCGGAAATGGGATTGAAAGAGACAAATCATCTACATAAAAAAATGAATTTCATACCTCAAGTGTTGGGGTGGAGTTTATAATAGGGTGTTATCAAAAAGCAAGTTAACATGCAACAGGCAGCAGAGTGATTTCTAATCAAGACATCATGAATACCATTTTGTAATCAAGGATAAGCCATCACTAATTACCACTTTGAAAAAATATCAAATGTCATGTCTAGACATATTAATAACTCAATCTTCCTGTTTTTCAGGTGCATGGCATTTCAATTCAAAAATACAAGTTTTATTTCAAATATTTTTATCAGTTTTATTAGTTTGTAACGCTCTGTTGACTGTATCTTTTATTTGTACAATACCACAATTAACATGGCAAGCGTGGGCGAGAATGTGTGGCAACTTGCCAAGCCCTGATTGTAAAATTGAAACTACTTGTCTGCAGTCAAAACAAGTTGTATTCTTGGGCAAACTGCCATTTAACTTGTTCAAACAATCGAAACTGGCAAATATTATGCATAGATAAGCTTCTAACATGTCTTAAGCGTTTTAAAATACTCTCAGAACTCAGATTACTTTTATAAACATAACAATTGCGAAGGCGGAAGGGAACCGAAATTTGACACCTTGCAGAAATTCGAGGTTCAAATTTATTCCGAAAATGCACATTATTTTGGTCCGATCCCCAATAAAAGCATTTTCCCTGATATTTAAGAAATTGACATATAAAAGCAGTAACTCTTAGTTGCTTTAAACATATCTTTTATGCCAAAATTCCTGGAAGAAAGACCAAATGAAACGCAAAGTATACAGTTTCAGTTTCAGTTTTGTTCTTAATAAGTATAAATGATTTCTCATGCTGTATAAACCTAAATATCATAAAGCGATTGTATAGATTTATACTACAAAATAAAATTAAGACAATATACAACACTTTAAAGCAACAAACCGAACACAAATTCTTTCTTCGGATACGATTCTTTCGCTTGAATATAAACCAAACTACTTGGACCAGATACACCGTTCTTTATCATTCTTCAACAACGTTTGATCTGCAAAAATAACAATGTATCTTTTGTAAATTTGAGCCAAGAAATAAATAGCCCAGACGTTCATAAATCCAAAAACAATTTGTAACTTGAGATCTAGTAGGAGAAACCCAAACAAAACATCATGGAGTAAAATTACCTCGAAAATGTCAAATCCAAAACTGAAAACTTTATCCAAAATGATGCAAGTGTATCACAAAATCGGAATGAGCAAATTAGTCAAATAAGATATAAAATTGAAGCTTAGTTCATGGAAAACGCACAAGAAATCCACGTAGCCGATAGCTCCAGTAGAGACCGAGAAAATCACCGAAATTGACACCACCTTCGATGCAAAACGCTAAAAGTTGACCACTATTTGCAGGTTACGGAGGGGGCGTGGATTAATAAACTACTATGATGATGTCATTATTCGCCTCAGCCTTCCAATTTTGACTGACGCAGCGAAAAGACTCTGGAACCATCGTCCAAAAATTCGTGATTTCTTAATCCTAACAAATCCTAACACTAATCCCATACCTAATCCCTACCTTAATCCCCCACTAAACTTAATCCTGGTTCATATATCAGTCTTAATCCTAATCTTAAATCCTGATCCAAATAACATAAACAAACCATAAAAAATTTAAATGTCCAATTTTTACACTGTTATTCTAATCTTTTCTCCAAAAATTATGACAAAATTGACAAATGTCTGGGATTTTAACGCGAATTTTTACACGGACAAAATTGCCATATTTTCAAGGCATATTTCAAAACACTAGATCATCTTTTTGGCTCCTTTCTGTGAAATACTGCAAGCAAATGAAACGAGTAATTCTATGTGAATCTGAATTGGAAGAAAAATTTGTGAAAGGGTTTGGAAAAGGTGGCCAGAAAGTGAACAAAACTAGTAATTGTGTGGAACTCAAACATTTACCAAGTGGAATAACTGTCAAGGTGAATATATTGTCCAACCTTGCAAGCCAGGGTAATTTCAGTCGTTTGTAGGGGGTCAGTCCCCCCGCTGCAAAATCCCCCAAGAAAGACCCTAGCTTGCGAGGTGAATATCTTGTCCTGTTGTGTCGAACACTTGGACGAACAGTAGTTGGAGGTTCAACTCGTTCTCAAGTTGTCAGATTATATGTCACTTCCGTCAGCTGGGCTAGTGCCACAATTTCACTCCCTCTCTATTGTAGTCTAGTTTAATTTCCATGTAATATGTGTAATGTTAGGGATTGGTTAATATATAATTAAAAAACATTGCAGGGTTTTTTATGGTACTCTGGTTTTCACTGTAGTAACACTGGACCAATAAGAAATAAATGGTTGTACTGGACCTCTAGTGTTATCCCATTAAGTTGCATTGCACTCCACTTTATTATTTCACTGTCTAACACCAGACAATTTCACCTGTCTAGGGGAGGATGCTGGTGCTCAATGGGTTAATAAAGCAAGTTTATAATAATAGTTTTGTTTGTGGAAACACCACGTAAATTTATTACTGCAAAGCTTTCGATCTCTAAGCCCGGATCTTCATCTCGAGCCAACAGATCACGACACTTTTGTATATAAAAAAGGGTGTGTGAATTAAACAAGTCACATATTATTAGCACTGATGAAGATCCGGGCTTACGGATCGAAAGCTTTGCAGTAATAAATTTACGTGGTGTTTCCACAAACAAAACTATTATATGTTTTATCGCCATGCAAACATACAAAGAACTTAAAGCAAGTTTAGTTTAATGCCTTTCAGGGGAGGGTGTGAGCTGTAGTTAAAATAGCATATATTTTTATTGCTTCTATCATGAAACATGCAAAACATAATTATATAACATCGTCCTATTCTTTTTAGTGCCATCAGACAAGATACTTGGAAAGAAACAGAACACTCGCTCGGGAAATACTCCAAGAAAAACTAGATTACTTTTACAATGGAAAGGAAAGCAAAGTAGCGAAGAACTGGGAGAGAATAAGGAAACGAAAAGCAGATTACGTGAGAAAAAGAAACATCAAGAATGAGTTATTAGAACTGAATAAAAACTCAGAAGACAATAATCAAAATAATAATTAATCTACAAATTAAGTTGGTTAAATTTCTTTATTGTAAATACAGTATATGTGGCAATGTTTTGAAGAAGAAATACTTGTTTGTTGTTTTTGATTTAAACTAGTACTGCCCAAGCATATGTAGTCAATGTTTTTGTCAAAGTAGATTTCACACAAACATAATTCAGCTGGTGATTTCATGTAGTAACTGCTGTCATCTTTTGGGGCTCAATTTTGTATGTGTGACATCTGTTGACAAAACATCACAATAGCATAATAAGTTCTCTCTTTCATTTATTTTTCATGACCCTCCAATCACTTGTGTGTCACTTTAAAATACATCAGGTTATTGGTTTAGCATTAATATATGCTGTTAAATAAAGTTTGTTGCCAATTGATTCATCTTTGTATTTTGCAGTTCTGTTTGGATGTAGCCTCAATACAAAATTGACTAGAATTCCTCTCTTTTCTTTATGTTTTCAGAAGATATGAACATTTTGATATTTATTTCCTTGCATTTCGTTCCGTTTCCAAGAGGCAATCTCGCACTAAGGCTCTTGCATGAAGAATTCCTAGGAACAAAAACAAGTGTGTTTAGTATCATCATACCTTCTGTACAGACCTAGCGCAAAACCCTCAAAATACCTGGCAATTCACAAAAACGTGAATCATTGCAACTACCAAGTTTTAAATAAAACCATATTTGCAGCATAGTGCATTATAGCCTGTACTGATTCGCAGCAATGTAAGCAAGCATTAATGTTAGCTAATTTTATGATTGTGCAGTCCTAAAGCACAGAATACTATACAGAAGGCCATCTCCATTGTTTTTTTGCATAAGCGCTATTGGTCATGATTCGTCACTCAGCAAGTACTGTAAACAGAAGCAGTCACCCCCCGGACGTGTGCCATTTTGAATATTTCCAGGGGGTGACTGGTTCTGTTTACGGTACTTGCAGAGTGATGAATCATGACGAATAGTGCTTACACAAAAAACAATGGAGATAGACTTCTGTATAGTATTCTGTGCCTAAAGCCCACCTTTTCTTAACCTCTCTCCAGCGTTCTTACTCCCTGCGTACGTTGGTTTCACATCTTTCCCCAGCTCTTCAATCACACGAAGCAACTCGTTATAACGTGACGATGGCATTGGTTGATGAGGCATTTTCGGTTTGGGTTTGTTTTGATCTGGTCTTGTCGCCTGTACCTGTATTTGTTGACCTAAAAATAAGATTCTGATTGGTATAGCTGGGTTTCACTAAGCACCATATCATACAGCAGGTGGTCAATCTACAGTTTAATATCAGAGCGAGAAAATGTTGATTGGTTGCTCATTATATGTAGTAGTTTTGTATTTGGAGGCACAAAAAATAGAATTGAAGGTCTTGTGAAGCCTCCATAAGTCAACGTTTGTAAGGTTAACCACAGGGTTGACCACCATATACAACACGTATATTGGGCCTTTACATTGGAATTTAAAATCCACAAATTGATCACATTTTGTTTACAAATTTTACAAGCATTAATCATAACCACAATACCCACGTGCTATAAAAACAATACTATTGTAAATAACAGTATACCTTGTCCATTCTTCTCCATATTTTAATCTAAGCAAACGATATTTTTCACAGAATAAAAACATAAAATTTTCTATTGTTTATAGCTTTTTTTTATTTCTTTACAAAATAAACTTGTTTTCAGTCTTCTACAGTTTTCCGCGGTCAAATTTTGCTTCCACTTTTAAAATAACGTTTTCTTCAATCTTGAGTTTTCTTACAAAAATTAAAATAAATTTAATACAATCCTTTATAGTTTTACTTTTAACAAAGAAATGCAAAATGCTTGCTCTGAACATTTTTTCACTCCCTTAAAAAACTATCTAAGCATGATATGTACAAGCTACATTTTGGTGAAAATTTAAAATATTTTAGTACACAGTATTCTATTCTCGACATTTCTCGTAATTTTGGCAAAATTTAAATAATCCTAGTTTCAATATCTATTTCATTAAAATACAAACTAGAAATCAGAATATAATGCTATACAGTTACCCTTTCAAAAGCGAATTACATTTTAACACAGAAAATTTGTGACTATTAAATTAATTGAAAAATAAATTTTCTTCAAGTAAACAAAATTCTGCTGGCAAAGTGGAAGCACTATTTTCGGCGCCAAACAAATTTGTAAATATTTCTTTTACGGTGGAATTTATAATTCTTTGTTTATATTTGAAAATTTTATTTATTTCTTTTCACAATCCATTATCCTTCACAATTCTTGACATAATCTGTCAGTTTTTTATTATACGATCAAGTTAAAACTTTGGAAAAGCGCTTGTGATCTTCGAAAGGTCCCAATCTGGAATTGGGTCAATGATGGAAGCGAGCAAATACAATAGCGTCCTTTCTGGAAAGAATTTCGATATATCTAGTCGCAAACGTGGTTCGTTTTTGTTTAATTAAAACTTTATATTATTATTTAGAGGGTAATTTACTTAAAACAAAAGGAGGAATTGTCCAATATGCACGTTTTAGTCGTTAATAATTAAACTGGGGCAGGTTTTTCGCTGTTTGTTGCATTTATTAGATATAATATTTGAAATTCCACAGAGTTTATAGGTTACATGTAAACAATGGCTGTTCATATAAACAGTCATTAGCAGTTGTTGTTTATGATTACTATATTTAGATGATATAGTACTGGAAATTCAAATTTTTAGTTGGAAAATGCAACTTGTAATTATTGGGGTCAAGAGATCATCTGATTATGTGGGATAATCTTGATCTAATCCTGACATATAAAGCCATGTGATAATGGCAATCTCCATAATCCACTTCAGTGGTTAGTGCATGTGTCTATCTCAGTTTCTCTTGTGAGAAGTGCTTCCAGTTTGATTCTACTAAATGCAGTGTTTTTGGTTAGAACACTCTGGAATCACAGATTCGATTCCTGCATTGCATTTTTCGCAACTGCTCCTCGTTAATAGGTGTAATAAAGACCAAAATAAGTATATAAACTCAGCTACGGCAAAATGCAATGGAGACACGGCAAATTTGCCAATCAACCACCAATGAAATTCGCAATACCCCAACCTAAATGTGAAATACTGCAAACACCATAGGTTAATTCTCTCCTCCAGAGGGCCCACAGTTTTTTGCTGCTGCTCACATTAGGTCTGACAATTGTATATCTCTTCTGCTCAAAATTTTCATCTGCCATAACCCTTTAACTGTTGGTTCTCTCTGTGTATCAAATATAATCCAAGTCTATTTTTCAGATCAAATTCACTCTGGCATGAACTCATCTTATCAACCAACAGCATTTTATCAAAGTACTCCAAAGGGAAAGGTAGATTATAACTGAAGTTTCCATTATAACATTTAGTAATGGTGGTAGGGAATAATCTCCCCTTTTATGACATGTGTTAACCTCACTCCCAACCAGAAATACCCAGATGACACAATTGATGAACTTCATGTATTTGTATTCCACATTTTCACAGACAGATTCATCTGGGTGCAAGGTAGTGTAGCCTCACCCCTCTGACAACTTTGGAACCTGTTTGCTCTTTGACCTAGCTGTAACAACTTTTAAGACATTTTGACAGTGTCTATACTCCTGCCTTGAAATGGTCCACACCCCATAAAATACACCCTACCCCCATTGGAAAATGTCCACTCCCTCAGTGAAATCTTCATCCAAAAGCACCCCCTCCCACAAAAAAATATTTTCCCCACCCTGAAAATTTCACCCCACCCTCTAGAAAATCCTCCCAACTGAACAACCCCCTGGAGAACTTACACACACACGCTTTCTCTCCATAATTACTCTGTAAATCTTGAATCATTTTTCGTACCAGACCTCAATGGCAAGCCCAGTTTCTCTCATGAATGGCTCGATCACAAGATCACCATCATCAGCTGGACATAGATCATCACCATCCGGTGTTGGTAGAAGATCAGCTAGTCCTTTACGCTCACGGTCAACAAGTCCAACCAAGTTGCATCATGGGACATCAGCTTCGCCAAGACAGGTTTGACGGAAGCACCACCATTAACGCATTGTGCCCTAATGAACTCTACTTTATTATTTTACCCAGTCTAATATGCCAAACAATTTTATTCATCAAGGAGAGAGCACTGGTGTACTCAATGGAGATTGTCCAGAGTAGAATACGCTCCCACAGAGATACCACCCTATATAGAACATTATCTATGCACCTTGGTCTCATCAATTATCTTTATTCTGTTCAGTTGTTAGATGTGGATACAGACACGATTCAAAAACAACGCAGAGAACTTCAACTTCTGATTGTGGAACTGAAGGACAGAGACAGGTTAACATTGCCTCCTACCTTTCTGATAGTTGGCGTATTTATATAATACACATAGACAAATTTATCCATCAAGACCAACTACACACACATGCATATTTCCATATGAGTGGGCGAACTATCTGGGAATTTATTATCTGGGAATTTTCAGACGAACTATCTTTGATCAGTGGCGTAGCCAGCCCGATGATTCCGTCCCGCTATGCAAATATTGCCATGTTTATAAACTATCAACACACAATCAATTTCTAAAGAAATTAATAATGAGTTGAAATTTGCATAGCAGACCAAATCGTCGGGCTGACTGCGCAACTGTCTTTGATAACGGATAACTGCAAATCAGAAAAGGTTTTCTTCACAAATGATTATGTTTCTAGGGAGTTGAATGACATGGTGCACACCCACCAAAAACATCTTCAGTCCTGGGATGAAGACAGACAACGGGTATCGAGTTGCAACTGTACTTTCTTATTTTCTCTGCCTTAAGGCCATTTTCCATTGCAGTCGCTTTGCCCTCGCGGGCGGAGCGACCAATTTTAATCACGTGAAAAATCAGTCGCCCGGCCACGCCAAGAAAGTTGAATGTAGTTCTACTTTCATGGCGTGTGCGCAAGCATTCAGGTGGACAAAAATGCACAGGTTAGGCAACTACAGAGAAAGTTGAGTAATGTTCGCTCCGCCCGCGCGGGCAGACGATTTTACTCGTCAAAGTGATGGTGCTGGCACTCGACAGGTTAAAATTTAACCCTTAATCTTTGCATAACATTTTCTAATCCTCAGATTCTCTCTTTGGAAAGAAGATGTGCAAGATTAGAAGGTATATATGGCGAAGAAACGTTTTCAAATTTATTGAAAAAATTGTGTGGATTATAATTTCCATATCATTATTTAGGAGAGTTGAAGACCAGAAACGAACAATGCAAAGCTTTAACAGCGCGGTAAGGATGGAATATTTGGATGTGAATATACTGATTAGGCGGTATTATGAGAGACAGAGTGTGAGAAATTGCCATCCATCGACGGATTCTCTAAACTATTTTAGTATTTTGTTCGTGTCAGGTTAAAATCAACAGAAGCTGAAGAAATGAACAAACGGAAAGAATTGGAAACGACGATGGTATGAATTCAACCCAACATTAGGGAAATTTATCTTCTTTACAAATTATTCAAGTATCTTGTAATATTTGGGATCTTTCCTCTTAGGAGCAATTAAAAGACGTCACAGAGCAAGCAGAGGTCGCAACTCAACAACTTGAAGACTTGGAGGTCCAGAATATTTTTAAACAGTTTTAATATACCTTTTTTAGCTGCAATCTTCATTTCTTGGTAGCGTGTTCCGTGCAACGATTTTCTCTTTATATCTGCCATCTCTTATATTTCCTAAACTTTCACCGGTTTACAATTAATGTAAATCACTTTCTTATGAATGAGTATAAGAATTAAGAAAGTGAATTTACATTGAGACTGTAAACTGTTATAATTTTTAAAAGGCTGCCATTTCTTCAGGATAAAAATACGAATCTTAGTGATTCCTTACGAGAACTTTCAAATAATCTCGGTCAACTCCAAGCAAGAGAACAGGAACTACTCACCAAGATCAAACTAAAGGTAGATGACCGTAGATCCGCTGATTTCAAGATACTCTCAGTACAGCCTTTGTAATGCCACAATCTTTTCGCACAGGAAAACGACATCACAGAAGCCAATATACGCATAGGAGAATTTCAACAGAAAACACGAAGACTGGAGAACGCACTTCAGGTCAGCAATACATGCCTGGAACCAGACATACTACGCAAAAATCTCACATCTTGTAACAAGTTTGTTAACAAGCCGTCAACAAGTTGTCTTCGCACTGCTTGTTACAAGTTGTCAACCGTTCTGGAACAACTTGTTGACAACTTGTAACGACCTTGCCGAAATTATCAGACTTGTTACAAGGTTGTTCTGACAAGTCTGTTACATGCTTGATATAACAAATTGTTACAACCTTGTGTTGACAACCTTGTAACATCCTTGTTATATCATGATTGTAAAAAAAACGTGTTAGAACAACCTTGTAACAAGTCTGCGCATGCATCTAATTCATTTCGCCGAAGAACGCGCCCGTGGAATCAGGCCTTAAGTTCTCGATTGTTGACTGTTGACGATCTGTTACAGGCTTGCAGTTAGACATGCTACAAGGAAGGTTGCATTCATAATGCTTGTTCCTTAAGCCTGGTTCACATATGCCTGCGACTGTATCACTATGCCTCAACTTGCCGCCGAAATACCGGGAAAGTTGAACTCAAGTCAACTTTCCTGGCCTACCGCCGATGTAAGTGAGGCACTGGAGGCAATCGGCGAGCAAATATTCACATAATTCACGTTTTAAGCCACCACCGGCATCGTCGCCGGTACGTCGCAGGCATATATGTGAACCAGGCTTTACTTGTCAAAAACATGTCATACATAACTGATAATTTCATTGACGTTCTCTCCTGAAATTTCTTATTTTTTCCTCCCAGGAATACCAGACGGTTGAGAAAGCGTTAAGAGCTGAAAGAGATCAGTTTAGAGATCAACATAACGCCACCAAGAATGAAGTGGAAAATCTAAGAGGTATTGTGGGTGTTTATGTCATTCAATGAGGAAGACAAAAGATTGACATGGTTTTTGTTGGATTATCTAGGTGAGATGAGTAAACAGTTCAGTGATGCGGATGATCTTCAGTCCGAACTGGCGCAGGTAACTCTGATACTGTGGCAAATGCTGAAGCCTCATGGTTTATTTAGTTCTGTGGTTCGTTGTCAAGCCGATACCAGGATGTGTTCGCACTGCTTGTTCCCAGTTGTTGTGATAAGTTTGGAATAACTTGTTATCACCTTGTTACAAGGTTGATGATGGTAACAGACTCGCTACAACTTGTTCCAACAAGACTGATACAGGCTGTTCCTAACAAGTTGCTACGAGCTTGTTGTCATCAACTTGTTAACAACTTGTTACGTGCAGACGATATCAGACTTGTTGGAACAACTTGTTGCAAGTCTGTTGTCCTCATCAACCTTGTTACAAGATGATAACAACTTGTTCCATACTTGTTTACAACTTGGGACAAGCAGTGCAGACACAATTTGTTGACGGCTTGTTGGCAGACTTGCTACAAGATGTGAGATTTTTGCGTGTACACACGTAAAAACGCACAAGTTGTTACAAGTCTGCAAACAAGTTGTTACAAATCTGTTCACAAGCTGTCGACAAGTTGTGTTCGCACTGCTTGTTCCAAGTTGTTGTAACAAGTTTGGAACAAGCTGTTAACAACTTGTAACAAGCTTGATGGCATTATCAGACTTGTCACAAGGTTGTTCTAGCAACTCCGGTACAGTCATGATAAACAAGAATGTTACAAGGTTAACGATACAAGGTTGTAACAATATTGTTATATCATGACTGTATCGGACTTGTTGGAACCTTGCAACAAGCCTGATAATATCAACAAGGTTACAAATTGTTAACAGCTTGTTCCAAACTTGTTGACAACTTGTGACAAACAGTGCGAAGACAACTTGTTGACGGCTTGTTGGCAGACTTGCTACAAGATGCGAGATTTTTGCGTGTGTATAATTGGAACAGTTCTCACATGCAACTGAGGCGAAATTCACTTGTACTGACATAAGTATACCGTTACATTCTAGTCAAAACAAGACGTCCTTGTGCTACAGAAGGAAGTATTTCTAGCAGGTACCAGATTGTACTGTATTTAGGGTATACCTTATCCCTAACAGCCATGGGGAAAAGGCTCAGTCATTTAGTGCATGTAATCATCTTGAGTGCTACATGTATGTAATCTTGGTTAGGATTACTGGCAGTTTCGATTACTTACATGTACAGTACCATGAATATACATGCAAGTAATTCATGCAAGTGCCAAGCAATGAAATGGGAGGTAAGAAGTTAAATTCTGTTTAGGTGAACGGGAAAAACGTAAAGATCAGTTACTGGAGCTACAGAAGTCGAAACAAGAACGAACAGATTCTGAACTACAAAACTTGAGACAAGTATGGACACAGAAGTGAATCTTAGTCTCTTTTAAACATAAGTAAATTGAGTAAAGAAAATAAGTGACATTAACTGAGTATTTTCAACTTGACTTCGTTTCAGATATGTGAACGGCAACAACGCGATATCTCTTATATGCAGATGCATTTACAAACTTCGCAAGAATCGTTTCTTAAAAATGAAACAAAAGACGAGAGGTGCATTGAATTGAATTTGGTGAAATTGATTATTCGATGATGCCAAATTAATCGATTATTTAGCCCTGGTCAAATGAGAATGGAGAGTTGAGAAGCGAGAGTTTGCATGAGAGTTGAGAAGCGAGAGTTTGCATGAGAATTTTCTCAACTCTTATGCCCCGGTCAAACGAGAACAAGAGTTGCACGAGAGTTGAGAAGCGAGAGTTTGCATGAGAGTTTTCTCAACTCTCATGCCCCGGTCAAACGAGAACAAGAGTTGCATGAGCGTTGAGAAGCGAGAGTTTGCATGAGAGTTTTCTCAACTCTCATGCCCCGATCAAACGAGAACAAGAGTTGCATGAGAGTTGAGAAGCGAGAGTTTGCATGAGAGTTTTCTCAACTCTCATGCCCCGGTCAAACGAGAACAAGAGTTGCATGAGAGTTGAGAAGCGAGAGTTTGCATGAGAGTTTTCTCAACTCTCATGCCCCGATCAAACGAGAACAAGAGTTGTATGAGAGTTGACTGGATATCACAGCATCTCATCAAAGTTTGAACCTACAGCTCAAAATTGATGAGAGTTGACAGTCAAACGCGAGCGAGAGTTGCAACTCTTATCAATCTTACCAAGCCTGTCCTTACCTCCTTCGACTGAGGCTTTAGGAATTGGTCTCTTTTTTCTAGATTCTATGACCATTACAACAATACGGCTACCAATTCTCACCCGGAATGGCTGAACAGTACCACTGAAAGTATGCTTCACTTATATCGTAGCAAACATCATATTTCTATAACATAATTTAATAATTATTTTTAAGTATTAAACTTACATTTGCATGTTTCAGTTCAAGGTAGTGGCTTCCCTTCAGTACAATCCAGCTCCCCAATCAAAGATGCAACACGAGACTTCAATAATCTATCATTTAAAGATCCAGACTATGGTCTTAATGGTCCAATGTCGTACCTCCCAGACACAAAACAACGAACTTCAACCACCAACTCGGATAACCACACTATAGAACAACAAATTCGTCGCAGCTTGGGTTAGTTCATGTGAAAATAAGATCCCTTAGGCATTCACAACTACACGGCAAAAAACGCCGAGCCCGTTGCTCAACAGGACTGAACAATGTGTTGCTGCCCACATTGTTCATAGCTGTCAACAATATTGAACAATGTTGTTGAGCCTGAATCGGGTGTAACAATATTGTTGACAGCTATGAACAATGTGGGCAGCAAAACATTGTTCAATCCTGTTTTCATCAGTATTGCATCAACCTGAGCGTTTTTACGCGTGTAAACACTGTCCAAACGCACGTCACACGCGGCTGAGTTCGAAAACAGCACGATCGCTTCTAACAAAAGCTCTAAACACATAAAAAACACACAAGTTGCAATTGTAACAAACCTGCAGCAGACTTGTAGCAATACTGTTCCAACAACTTGTCAACAGGATGTGTTCGCACTGCTTGTTCCCAAAGGCTTGTTGACAACTTGCTACAAGGTTATTGAGCTGAACAGACTTGTTCCAACAACTTGTTATCGTCATGCTATTCAACAAGTTGTGAGTGACAACCTTGTAGCAACTTGATAAAATAACAACATTGTTACAACTTGTTGACAAGCTTGCTACAAGCTTGTTGCGAACACGTCTTGTTGAGAAGTTGTGAGATTTTTGTGTCTCATATTTTTTTTATATTCGACCAGGATCTCCAGAACTGAACTCGGAGAGCGAGCAATTCTTTCCTCTACCAACATTTTCCGCTGCACAAACATTTCCTTTGACGAACTTTGTGGAGCAGAGAACGAACGGTGAACATCTTAATGATGATACTACGATACAACAACGAGACGTAAGTACTAAATTCACGTTCTTCGCAAATCAAAGGGCAAGAAATTAATGGATATTTTGCATCAAGGAACAAGCTGTTAACAATTTGTAACAACCTTGTTGATATTATCAGGCTTGTTACAAGGTTGTTCCAACAAGTCCGATACAGTCATGATATAACAATACTGTTACAACCTTGTGTCGTCAACCTTGTAACATTCTTGTTATATCATGACTGTATCAGACTTGTTAGAACAACCTTGTAACAAGTCTGATAATGTCATCAAGCTTGTTACAAGTTGTTAACAGCTTGTTCCAAACTTGTTACAACAACTGGGAACAAGCAGTGCGAACACAACTTGTCGACAGCTTGTGAACAGATTTGTAACAACTTGTTTGCAGACCTGTAACAACTTGTGCGTTTTTACGTGTGTACCTCTCACCACTTTTTCAGGACCAAAATTCACCAACCAGCAAACTGCATCGATTACTGGAAGAATCTCGTCAAATGGTCCAAACTCTGGAGCAAAGCACAATGACGACACCACCTACGGTACGGCTAAGTTGAACTAACTTTATTTATGCTGGAAAAAACGTTGCAGCTCTAAACTTAACCTGCGTTGCTGGGGGTTTTATGCGGTTGGGGGCTATTCTAAACTGTTCCAGTAAGAGGCATCCCTTGTTAGCCCAATGTTACTACAGGAGGAAGCAAGAGTACCCATAGAAAACCTGTAGTGTTTAGTTTGATAGAGTCAAACTGGAAGCACTCTTGTGACTGAGAAGAGGCACATGAACCTGCAACTGTGACACCAACACCCCAGTCGCTGAAAACAGCAAAGATTACACTTTACACGAGTTTTCATCCAACTACACATGCGTCAAACCTCTCCTCATATCTGACCGAGGTGATATTCTAATTAGACAACTGCATATTAATTAAGCGCTAATCCTTACCCTAACCGCTGACCCTAACTCGCAACCAGCGAGACATGTATGAAATTATTTTCTTTGTATTTTTTACAGGGTTCAGTCGACGGCTCTGAAAAGTTCTCTCCCTCTACAACAAGCCCAAATACGGACCGACTGAGTAACTGATAATCTACTGTACAATATGTACCTAACACGTGTTAATGCCCCGTTGCCAATCAATTCACTCACATATGCTTGCATTATCAGAACAGTGGTAACTAGGCATGTGAGTTATCAATTCACTCGCATGTACAATATAAATGCTTGGTTATCTTTGTTCCATTCTATGCTTACATCAGAACAGTGGTAACTATAGGCATGTGAGTTCTGTGATAATGCGAATTGGCTGGCAATGGACACGAGTTAGGTCTATCAACTTTAAATCAAAGTTGCTTGTTGTGTTTTTAGTAATTTATGTACATAGATTTAATATATACAGTGATTTTAACTTATAGATAAGAAGACATGTGCAAACACGTTGATTGAAAATAAATACTCAGAAAATTCAATAACTACGAGTGTAGAATTTTCATCGTTGATGTGGACAAACTAAGAAACAATAATGAAACATTGCATGTGCAGAAATAGTTGAAAATCTTGACGTATCCTTCAGGAAACATCGTTGCGGAAACTAATTTTGCTTCCCTGAAAATAATTCCTCAACAAATTCAACATGGCCAGCAAACATTGTTTAATAACTTTAAAACTTTCTGGTTTGTCCACCTTCGAGAAACATGGCTAGGAAACATTGTTTTCTGGTTTTTCCGCCATCGCGAAACATGGCTAGGAAACAATGTTCCTTCCTTGTTTGCTCGCCTTTGTGGCGAACAATGTCTGCTGCTTTACGCTGGCTTAGTTAATTAGACTATTACTTGATCACCGAGGCTTTTTGGTCGAGTCTCCCCGTAGCTGCAGTGCTAAAGCAGAGGGTCTATTTTCCGGGATAGCATAAGGCCCCGAGGCTAACTCCTCGTACATCGAACTATCATCCTCTCGGCCAGTCAAAACAACATTTCTCAACTCGGGCATTTCATGAAAGGGCAGATAATGTTGTCCGTACGGAATACCCTCGAGCCGGCGGTGTTCTGCACTTTCAAAAACAGTCTCGTGCTGTTCCCAATGTCTGTCACATGCAGCACACAAGAAAGCCGAATGGAAACCTGCGCACGGGCAGGACTTTACACGACATCTCCTTGGATTTGTCGGGCTGTGTTCCTCGTGTGTGTGCTTGCATTTGCACTTCGCTCTCCAGGTACTGGGGTCGAAATTTCGCCGTCTTTGTAGCCACCATTCCCCCACCTCTTCTGTCCGTGCGGGAACAAACGCGAACGCTTTACACTCACACGCGCGACACGGCACGTTGACGCTGTTACCATGGTAACTACTATGCTCCGATAAAAAATGTCCACAAAAACATTTCGATGATTTTCCGACTCGTATACAATCATGTTTGAACTCAGGGCATCGCCAGCCGATATATATACCCGTCTCAATCGCCTCCAAAGCAGCTTCCCTTTCAGGATCGAACAACTTTTTCAACCTCGGAGCGAAATCTTCGCGATTCATTGCCCTTGCTACGGGCAGAAGTTCTGCTTTCGAAGCGGGGACTATAGGCCGTACAGTGTAACCTTTTGGCGCTAACATTGTGGGCTTTCTCGGCGATATTGCAGTGTTTGAAGTCTTTTTCTTGTTACTTGCAGCTTGTTTAACACCGGTTGTAGTTTGTTTAGGAGCCATTACAGGTGGCCTTCTTGCTGTAGTCGAATTTTTAGTCGCAGATTTTCTCGCTTTCGTGTTTGTGTCTGGACTGGCATAGCGCGAAAAGCGAGTCGTTGCTTTCGTCGTTGCACCAGGAGTGTTTGAAGCGCCGTCTCTGCTCGATTCTGGCAAACTGAAACCGCTAGATGCGATATTTTCCTCTGAAAATCGTCTTGCCATGTTTAAATTGATGTAATTTGTAACATACGGTAAAAATAGAACACTATAAACCACATACGTGGTTGGGCAGGCGTTTGACTACCTCACCAAATTGGGAGAATTTGTATAATAATCATGTAATACTTCGTCTTCCCAGCAATATTTTTGAATTCTGGATAACCACGGAATGCATTTCTTGTGTCGTCTGAAAAAATAAACAACATTTGTAAATAGACTTTGTAAATAGACTCTCACTAACCGAAGCAGATGGCGGTGAAGTTCAGAAATGTTCATATTCACAGAAGCAAGTAAATTAATTTCCCGTAAATGTACACCATCAAAGTTTCTGTGATCACAGTAGGAATTATGCTGCAGGTAAATTGAAGTATTTGTAAGAAATGTTTGGGCGAACTTACTTACTGTTTAACATTGAGTCAGTTCCGGAGTTCCCTCAAACATTTCTTACAAATCGTTCAAAACTTAGAATTTACTATGCAAAATTCCTACTGTGATCACAGAAATTTCGATGGTGTAAAGGTCATGTCAAGCGGTCATGCATGTAAATAATAGTCATATATCTCACGAGATGCAAATTGTATCAAGTTTCTTCCGATTTCGAAACTACCTATGGGAATATGGCAGCTATGCAAAATGAAACACCATTTTAAACTGGTCAACAGGTAGGTTTCAGTAAAATGTATTATACGGTACTATACACATAGTGACCAACTTCAAAGTTCAAATGTATTGACACTTATAGCAGCAAGCTAAATGCTTCCATTACGTGTACTTTACCACCAGAAATCAAAACATAATAGATGAACAATTTTGTATTATTTAAAAGCACTCAGTCCATTGTTTTTCCTTTTAGAGTTTATAAATACGCATAATGTGACATTGTGAGCTGGTGGACCTGTTGGCTTTCCAATACAGCTACATTTCAGCTTGGTCATTTTGAGTTAAAGACTCGCTTTGTAATTGTGTATATATTAAAAGCGTCAAAATCATGGCGTGTAGTAAATACGAGCTTGGCTATGACGACAATCGCTTCGAGATCGAAGTCAGTGAAAGCTTTCATTGTATAATCTGTTTCCTGGTTCTTAAACAACCAGTAATGTGCAAGAACCAACACTACTATTGTTCAATCTGTATCAAGAAACATTTGGAAAACTCCGCATCTTGTCCGACGTGTCGTGAACACCTCAGTGTCGCCACATTGAAGCCAACTCCGAGGATCGTCACGGACTATTTATCGGAGCTCAATATTCGCTGTGATTTTCACCCCAGAGGATGTCTGGGGGTTGTTAAGTTGAAAAATCTCGAACGACACGTTGCAAGTTGTGGGTTTTCGCCCGTGCAGTGTTCAAATGACGGATGTAATGCTCTCGTTAGTATCAGAGATAAAATCTATCATCAGAGTGAAATATGTGAATTTAGAAAGTCGAAATGTCATGACTGTAGTCAGCTCAAACAGGAAGTAAAGGAATTAAGGGTTCAAATGATGGCTCAACAAGATCAGATCAGAGAGGAAATGAAAGGAATAAAAGAGCAAGTTATGAATGAAATGAAAAAAGAAACGAAAGAGTTAACAGTTCAAATGTTGTCTCGTCAGGACCAACAAGAAATGCAAAGCGAAATTTTTGCTCGCCAAGACCAAATGAAAAAAGAAATAAAGCAAGATATAGGTATGCAATTAACGTAATTTCATTCAGTAGTTATAATTATCCCTTCATAATGTACATGGTCGCTTGGGGCCTGTGCTCTAAACGTCGAAATGTTTTTCTGGTTGTTTTTTTCCTGACAGAAACCGCGGCAGCTCATTGCAGAATAATATTACCTACACTGGACCACCGCGTTTGAGATATCTTTTTCAGATAGTTCAGATACAAACCACGGCAGCTTATTGTAGAATACTACCTACGCTGGACCACCACGTTTGAGATATCTTTTCCAGGTAGTTTAGACACGCTGGACCACCACGTTTGAGATATCTTTTTCAGGTAGTTCAGACACAAACCACGACAGCTTATTGTAGAATACTACCTACACTGGACCACCACGTTTGAGATATCTTTTTCAGGTAGTTCAGACACAAACCACGACAGCTTATTGTAGAATACTACCTACACTGGACCACCACGTTTGAGATATCTTTTTCAGGTAGTTCAGACACAAACCACGACAGCTAATTGTACAATACTACCTACAATGGACCACCACGTTTGAGATATCTTTTTCAGGCAGTTCAGACACAAACCACGACAGCTTATTGCAGAAAAAATACTTAGGATGGGGATGTTTTAAACACTCAAGATATTAATATGAAATTTTAGCTTGTCAAGGAATGACAGTAGAAATAAAGCATCATCTGACAGAAATGAAACGTGAAATTTTGAGCGAAGTGCGAGAAATAGTCAAGATGGGGGTTGAAAACATGGCAAAGGAAATGAAGAATACAAGTGACGAGATGAAAAAGGAAATGAAAGAAATCCAAGATCAAGTGAAACCGATATGTTTTAATCAGTCAGCTCGGTTAGATGGAGAGCAAAAAGCAGAAATGCCTGCAACAGAAAATACGAGAATAACAACACCACAAAAACCAGCACCATCATTTCTAACATTAGAGCCATCATTTCTAACAAAACCACCACCAAACAAAACAGAAGAAACAAAACCATCATTTGGAACAACATCACCAAACAGAACAAAACAACCAATGCAACCATTTGGAATACCAACATTGGGAGCAATGCTACCAGGAAACGATTCAAACGAAACAGAAGAAATAATACCATCATTTGAAACACCATCACCATACAGACCAAAACAACCAATGCAATCATTTATACCAACATTGGGAGCAATGCTACCAGGAAACGATTCAAACGAAACAGAAGAAATAATACCATCATTTGAAACACCATCACCATACAGACCAAAACAACCAATGCAATCATTTATATCAACATTGGGAGCAATGCTACCACGAAACGATTCAAACGAAACAGAAGAAATAATACCATCATTTGGAACACCATCACCATACAGACCAAAACAACCAATGCAATCATTTGGAATACCAACATTGGGACCAACGCCATTACCAAACAAAACAAAAGAAACAAAACCATCATTTGGAACAACATCGTCAAACAGAACAAAACAACCAATGCAACCATTTGGAATACCAACATTGGGAGCAATGCTACCAGGAAACGATTCAAACGAAACAGAAGAAATAATACCATCATATGGAACACCATCACCATACAGACCAAAACAACCAAGCAATCATTTGGAATACCAACATTGGGACCAACGCCATTACCAAACAAAACAAAAAAAACAAAACCATCATTTGGAACAACATCATCAAACAGAACAAAACAACCAATGCAACCATTTGGAATACCAACATTGGGAGCAATGCTACCAGGAAACGATTCAAACGAAACAGAAGAAATAATACCATCATTTGAAACACCATCACCATACAGACCAAAACAACCAATGCAATTATTTATATCAACATTGGGAGCAATGCTACCACGAAACGATTCAAACGAAACAGAAGAAATAATACCATCATTTGGAACACCATCACCATACAGACCAAAACAACCAATGCAATCATTTATACCAACATTTGGAGCAATGCTACCAGGAAACGATTCAAACGAAACAGAAGAAATAATACCATCATTTGGAACACCATCACCATACAGACCAAAACAACCAATGCAATAATTTGGAATACCAACATTGGGACAAACGCCATTACCAAACAAAACAAAACAGAAGGAACAAAACAATAATTTGGAACAACACATTAACCATTTTGAACACCGCAAATATTTAGAACAACAACAGCGAAGCAAAATAAGTAACTCTAGTAACACGCACAAAATAGTTTATGGGTGAAAATCCTTATTTTTCCCTGGGTTGCATTGGGTCTTAACCAATAAAAATGTACACACTGGCCATTTTGTATGTAGTTTCTTAGAATTACAACTGTAGCACTATCTTGCCGCAAGATAACAGTTTTAGATAAAAGATTGTTCGAAACTATTTCTAATAAATATACAATGACAAGGTTAATATTTAAACAAGCATGAAATTCTTGCAGGATAATAAATTAACTAAACAATATAACATTATAAATACCATTTGTTGACTGCTACGTTTGAACTTTTTCATTCGTGACTTTTCCACATCGAGCGTCAACATATCGCACGGCAGATTCCTAAATGAAATTATAATTATGGGGTATTGGTGGTTGCCAGTGGTTGGTACATGCACCTGTTACCTCTGTGACCAAAGTTCCTGCAATATGGAGTAGTTGTTTGATTACAACACAGCCCCGACCACATGTGTGTAGAGTTACTTCTAGATTGACTCGAGGAAACACCAGAGGTTTTTTCCGGTTTTTTCGTGTAGTAACACTGAACCGGTAAGGGCCTTCTTGTGCCTCTAGCCCCGGGGAAAGGTTAGAACTGAAGACGATCCAAATGTGTTTAAAAACTAAAGAAACCTACCCAATTCAATAATAATGTTGTAAAAGTGTACATTCTTGGTAAACTGACAAGTTTGTTTTTAAGGCGAGTTTTGATCCGTTTTAAAAAGTCGCTTGTTTCTGAAACGTAAGAGTAACATCAACTTTCACATAAAGTAGACAAACTGTTACGTTATAGTTTAAATACATATGGTTTGGTGTGGTAAGGTTTGATATGATATATGGTATGGTATGGTATAGTATGATATGGTATAGTATGATATGGTTGGTGTGATATGGTATGATATGGTATGGTGTGATACGGTATGGTAAGGTGGTGTGGTAAGGCTGCAGTTTATATGTACTCTATGTTTAAACTAAGAAGTATGCGACATGATTACATACCATAATCTTTCGTGTCAAAATGAGGCGAAGAATTGGGGTAATCTGCAGGCAAACGAACGACCAAGTAGGGAACTGCCGGTAGGGTTTTATCATCTAAAACGTGAAGCATACAAATACCTGAACCCTTTTTCCTGTGAAAAACTTTCCTAAATTGTAAAACGTACTAGAAATTACGATGTTTAGAAAAAAAGCAATATGAAGTTGTCTGATTATAATTTCACCTCAGTCACAGTTTGACTCTACCAAACACCGCAGGTTTTCTCTGGGTACTCTGGTTATACCTCCTGTAGTAACATTAACTGGACCAACAGGGGATGGACCTCTGTCCTCCAGGAACAACAATTTAGAGCTGATAGGGCACTCCAGTGTAAATAAAGCTATCCGTCTTAAGTAAGATCGATCTTAGAGTACTTTCATAGTTTGATTAAAAAAACAACTCACTTATCGAGCATACTAGCGCGGTCTGTTCACAGCCATCATCCCCCTCATTAGCATAATCGACGGTGAACTTGCTTGTCAGTTGCGCAATCTCACACTTGACTGCGTGAGGCAGGGGCGACTCTGGTTCGTGGTTCTCGCGACGGGGCCTGGGAACTTGTGGTGGACTACGTTAAACAAAAAACACTTGTTATTGATACTGATCTAAACTATAACTGGGTCGAATAATCATCGGAAAACCTTGATTTTCACCCTTTGCAAAAGGCGCCTCGATTTTGTAACAATGCTGTTAGTTTGTCAAGCTGTTGCAAGGTGAATGTCACTCACAACTTGTTAACAAGTTGTTGAATTGCAGGACGATAATAAGTCGTTGGAACAACTTGTAACAAGTCTGTTGAGTTCAACAACCTTGTGGCAAGTTGTCAACAAGCCGTGGACAATTAGTCAACAAGCTGGGAACAAGCAGTGCGAACACATCCTGTTGACAAGTTGTTGGAATAGCATTGCTACAAGTCTGGTGCAGGTTTGTTACAACTTGTGCATTGTTACGTGTGTACATACAATGAACTGTCAACATTTTTCGATGCTTACCATATGGCAGGCCCATGAATCGTTCCCAGTGTAGGTGCTAACATTTGGAACAGACGGTTGTTTGATTGAGGTGAGCTCGTTTTCGCTTGGACTTGCAGAGCTTCGAGAAACGAATAACCAATAGGAACGGGCTAAAACACAGAGAAAGTTCACAGTTTTTTCGACAGAATTTGTCCAGTCACCTTATTTTACTTTTTTACTATTCAACTTTATTATACAGTCAAAGCTTTGTTTACACAAAAGTAATGGTCAAACGAGGATGTGAGTTGATGAGAGTTGGCAAGCAAGAGTTTATATGAGAGTTTGCGCAGCTTTCGTTCCCCGGTCAAACGAGAAGAGTTGTATGAGAGTTGATGAGAGTTGAGAAGCGAGAGTTTGCATGAGAGTTTTCACAACTCTCATACCCCGGTCAAACGAGAACAAGAGTTGCATGAGAGTTGACGAGAGTTGACTGGATATTACCGCGCGCGTATCAAAAACTCTCATCAACTCTCATCAAAATTTGAACCAGCTCAAATGATGAGAGTGCATGATAATTGATGAGAGTTGGCGGTCAAACGTCATTCATATTAGGGTATGTAAACTGTTGCATCTAAATCTTACCTCATTCTTCGCTGGTTTTCTATTGGAACCACTCTCACCTTCGAACTAGAAATTAAAGAACAACAATCTTTAACGCTTTTGTTAAACAATAAGTAAATAATGTGGCATTCCAAAATATATATATATTAAACATGACAAAAATTTCCCGCAGGATGTAAGAAAATTTCCTGCGAAGATATTTTGTTAAAATGTCCTGGACATTTTCCAGCACTAAAATCAGTTACAGAATCACATCCTCAGAAAGTACGAAATATTTTTCGCGACCGAAACTTAAACGCAAGGTTGCGTGGACAGTCAGTTTACATGTACCATGGTTCTGTCGCAGAATCGAAACACCCGTACATGGAGACAGTGGTCTTTAAAGTATGGTCGCGAAAGTATGTCGTCCAATTTTTACTGCCGAGTTCGGCAACATAAGGAATCATGTAGGCAATTTATTCCTACTTTAGTCGTGTAATGATTACTTACAGGTAGTTTTCTACGCAGAACATCTTCGACTTTCAGCAGGGCTTGATAGGGAACTCTGCAAGATTGAAGATTTTATAGGAATTTTGATTGTGAACTTTGAATGTCATAATACCACTCACCTTTCTTTAGGGTTGCCAAGAATACTCAACAATCTTTTTAATTTTGTTAAATTTTTGCTGTCTTTGTTCGCTACGTCTAGTGAAAAGTGGAATGAAGAGAATTACTAGAATAGAAAGAGACAGAATTTGGACAAGCTGAAATAACATACCTTCTTCATTTTGCATCTTGGCTATCATTTTTCGTAAAGGTTCTGTATATACTGACAGTTGCTTGAGCTGAAAGTATACAGTAGACTATCAACACCATCACCACCATCATCACAACCTGTGACCATCATCACCACCACCACCACCACCATCACCACCGCTAACTATCACCATCATAACCACCAAAATTACCATAGTCGCCAGCATCATCACCACCACCATCATAACCAGTGACCATCATCACCATCACTAACTATCACCATCATAACCACCAAAATCACCATAGTCACCAGCATCACCACCACCACCATCATAACCTGTGACCATCATCACCATCACTATCACCATCATAACCACCAAAATGACCAGTCACCAGCATCACCACCACCATCACCACCACCATCACTATCACCATCATAACCACCAAAATAACCAGTCACCAGCATCACCACCACCACGACCATCACCATCATAACCTGTGACCATCATCACCATCACTAACTATCACCATCATAACCACCAAAATCACCATAGTCACCAGCATCATCACCACCACCATCATAACCTGTGACCATCATCACCATCACTAACTGTCACCATCATAACCACCAAAATGACCAGTCACCAGCATCACCACCACCACCACCATCATAACCTGTGACCATCATCACCACCACTAACTATCACCATCATGACCACCAAAATCACCATAGTCACTAGCGTCATCACCACCACCACTGCCACCACTATCACTACTATCACTACCATCACCATCACTACCATCACCATCATTACAACCACCATCATCACCACCATCATCATCATCATCAACATCATCACCACCATCATCATCATCACCACCATCATCATCATCACCACCATCATTCATCATCACCACCATCATTCATCATCACCACCATCATCATCAGCACCATCACCCACCTTCTCGACATACAGTTGTTCCTCCTTATCAGACAGATCAGTTTTTCCAGGACTTTCTTGAGAACCAAGATTCAGATTACTTGGAGGATTGAATGATCCGGGTGACTCAACGCTGGGTATGCCAGAGATTCTGGAGGCGAGTAAAGATGAAGGAGACTGGGCGCTAATCTAAACGAAAATGCACAAATTTACAATCCTGTAAAAACTAAAACATGGAACAATATCTAGACCATTCTGGAAAGTATGTCATTTGGGCTATCA